ACCCCGCCCCGCGTTACCCCCTCCAGCGCGGCGCGCCGGCACGGCGATTGGCTGCAGCGCGGGGAGCGGGGCGGCGGGAGCGCTCTCATTGGTCCGCGGTGGCGCGGGTTTCAAACGTCGCCCCGTTTGCAGTGCGTGCGTGTTTACTTCGCGGCCCCGAGTACTGTACAGCGGCGGCGAGCGGCCGGCCTATGAGCCGGTCACGTTGACGGCGCTCTTCCTCACGTTCTGGGTTTACCTGGCCGTGAGCTCGTCGTTGTACGCCGCGCACTGCGGCTGCGGCTCTGACGTGCTGGTGTCCGAGGACGAGGTGGCGCCGTGGCTGGGCCCCGGCCCGGACGAGGAGGGCCCCGCCGTGGACGTCGCCGCGGTGCTCGTGGAGGGCCCTGGGGGCGTGGGCGGGCCGCCTATGGGGCCGCCCATGGGGCCCATGGTCGGGCCCAGCGCGGGGCTAAGGGAGGAGGCGAGCACGGGCACCAGGGTGGGGCTGGGGGGCGCGGCCTGGCCGGCCTGGGCGGCCAGGGCGGCCGCGGGCGCCACGGGCACCACGGCGGCGGCCGGGGAGGCGATCCCTTGCAGGGACATGGCGGAGTCCTGGGTGGTGGTTGTGGTGGTGGCGATCGTGACTTAGGTCTTGTCCTGGGCGCTGGCGGTGCTGCCGCATGACGCGGTGTGGCGGGCGGAGCGCACAGAGAGAGGGGTAGGGAGGGGCACGCCGTCCGGGGCCCCCGCAGTCCATGTCTCCATCACCACGCGTCCTGTGGCTCCGGCAAAAGACGGGATTGCTTTAGCGGCTGAGGCTCGCCGCGCGCCCACAGCGCCACCCGAGAGGATCTCTCTGTCTCTTACCGGGCTACCCTTGGCTCGACACGGCCTCGGCGGGGAGGTGCTTCGGGGTTGCTGGGTGCAGCACGCAGCGGGCGGGCCACGGGCTGGCTCGGCGGTCGGGCGTCCCGTGTCAGGCAGGGTCTCGTGCACGAACACCTGATAACAACCAATAACAATATAGAACAAGAGGACGATCACGTTGTGCGAGGGGCTGCAGCGAGCGGATGCCCGAGCGGCATGGGCGACCGGGGGGAGGGGGCACGACACCCCAAACGTCTGCAATAAAACACCTTCGGCGGTTGCTATGTAACTTCGCCTGAAAGTGTGGGCGGAAAGCAAAGGGCGCCTGCGGGCTCGGGGACGTTACAGCACAGGAAGGTCGGCGGGTGACTGCGACCAGCGACCAGCCTAATGTTCTAATTTTCAAGGCACAGGAAGCACAGGATTTTGTACAGGGTGGTCGCTTGTGCGGCAAACGCTTGGACTAGCACGCATGCACGAGTATACGCATTTCTACCCCGACGGGGCACAGCGAACACCTTGTCGGAGGAAGAGGAAGGGAGTGTGACCTTTAGTTTGGTCTACCTTATTGTCGGAAGCAGCAGGCAGCCTTCTCCCCCCCCCCTCCCTTAATTCCATTTTTACCTACTGAATAAGGGTTTTGCGTTATGTAAGTTAGCGCTGCGGGAGGGACGGAGACACCATTACAATGGAACTTTTCTCCGGGCGAGGGGGGAAGTGAGGGGAGGGG